GCAACCACATGGTGGCTTACAACCATCTGAAATGAGATCTGATGCCCTCTTCTGGCCTGCAGACAGACACACAGGCAGAATATTGTATACATAATAAATAAATGAAATATTAAAAAAAAGAATACAAAGTCTAGGGGCTAGAGAGATGGCTCAGAGGTTAAGAGCACTGACTGCTCTTTCAGAGGTCCTGAGTTCAATTCCCAGCAACCACATGGTGTCTCAGAACCATCTGTAATGGGATCTGGTGCCCTTTTCTTGTATGCAGGCAGAACAGTGTATACATAATAAAAAAAAATACAAAGTCTGGAGTTGGGCATGGTTACACACACCTTTAATCTCAGCAGTTAGGGGACAAAGGCTGGTGGATCTCTGTGAGTTTAAGACCAGTGTAGTCAAAGAAGGGGCGGGGAGGTGCTGGAGAGATGGCTCAGAGTATAAGAGCACAGGCTGTTCTTCCAGAGGTCCTGAGTTCAATTCCCAGCAACCACACAGTGGCTCACAACCATCTACAATGAGATCTGGTGCCCTCTTCTGGTATGTAGGCATACATGCAGGTAGAACACTTATACATAATACCTTTAAGGGGAAAAAAAAGACCATGTAATCTACATTGCAAATTCCAGTACAGTCAGGCTGCATAGAGAGATCCTGTCTCAACAAACAAACAAAACAACAAAGTCAAGGTTGGGGAGGTAAGTCAGTTGGCAAAGTGCTTAGTGTACAACCATGAGGCCCTGAGTTCAAGCCCCAGTACTCACTGGAGACAGCTAGGGAACTCATGGTCCAGCCAAGCCTAACATCCCACGTTCACGGGCACATACCCTCAGACACATGAGAAAAACAGACACATAATGTAAAACATACACCTGGGGCTGGATAGATGACTCAGCAGTTAAGAGCACCGGCTGCTCTTACAGAGGACCCCGGTACAGCTCTCAGAACCTACGTGATGGCCCACAACCATCTGTAACTCCAGTTCTGGGGGTAATCCAATGCCTTCTTCTGACCTCCACAGGTACCAGGCACACATGTGGCATACGTACATGCATGTAGAGAAAACATACATTTAAAATAAATTAAAATCTTTAAATTACACACATGAATACACAGAATTAAACATTTTTTAAATTTAAAAAAAACTGAAAAAAAAAATAACCAACTTAGGGAGATGGTTCAGCTGGTGAAGTGCTTGCTGCATCAGTTTGAAGACTGGACTTCAGTTCCCAGCACCGATCAGCTGTCGGCCTGTGCTCTCAGCATGTGCTGGAGGCACAAGCTGATTAGTTGGGGCTAGCCCGATGGACAAGCTCTGGGATCCATTGAGAGACCTTGTTCAATATAGATGGTGGAGAGTGCCAGAGAAAGACAGATGTCAACCTCTGTTCTCCACACAGGCATCCAAACACACGTGAACCCACATAATCACACCACACTGAGATAGATAAGCGAAAAAGAAGAAAAAACGTATACAGTTGTATACAACAATACACGTGTCTTATCACGTGCCAGTTAGACCTCCATAAAACTGATCTAAAAAAGCCCCAAAGTGCCAGGTGCAGCAGCTGGAGCCTGTACAATCCCAGTCGCTTTGGGAGGTTGAGGTGGAAAGATCCCATTAGTTCCCAGCTAGCCTAGGCAGCATAGTGAGACAATCCCCAGCCCACCCGCCACGGAGCAATAGTGACTCCATTCTGAGGCAGACACAAGACACGGACATAGGGACATGCTGGGCAGAAAGTGAAGCAGAGGGAAAGGCTAGAACTCGGTGGAGGGAGGTGGTGGGAGGCACAGCTAGCCAAGTGCTCTGAGGCCAGCCTTTCCCTCCTCTTCTCCTCTGAGCGCCCACATCTGTCCTTGGACCACACATCCATCTGTTCTCCCCAGAGCCCACAGCACCCAGTGTGGCCTGCGGCATCACCTGTGCCTCAGTGCTCTTCTTGTGACTTCCCACAGGAAGGGGCCCTCGACCTTCTGAAGAAGCTGAACAATTGCCAGATGACCATCCAGCTGCTACAGGTGTGGGGGCCCCTTGGGGTAGCACCTCTGTGGGAGGGAAAGACCCTGTGGAGGTTTCTGAGACATGGAGTTGGGACATGGGGAGCATCTCTTGAGGGCCAGTTCTTTCCCAGGCTTGTGGGGGTCAGAGTCCTTGAGTTTAGGGAGAAGGCGGTTTCCTTGAATCTCTATCCAAAGTTAAGGCCTGTGGGATCTAAGTGGCCCATGACCCAGGGGTCTGTCCCCTTGCTTTCAAATCCTCCTTAGATTTCCCACATACCCCCAAACTTTACCAGAGACTTCTGGCCCCAAAAGACAAACGCACATCTAAGATATGGTAGCCAGAGGTGGGTCTAAGTCAAGACTTTCTCTCAATGTATCTAGTGGACTGCAAATGGTACAGGGTCCTAATTACAGCCAATGCCCTCTCCACCCCAGCTCCCCACCAAAGTTCCCAAAAGTATAGGCTTGGGTCTCAGTCAGGTTAGCGGGTCAGACCCTAGTTCTACAATAGATGACTCAGAGTTAGGACACGGATCCTGGGGAGGTCTAGGTTGGAGGGAAGTGATGGCTGAGCTGACGCTCCCTCCAGAAAGAGTGACGGGTCCTGTGGGTCAGCTCCCCTAATCCTTCCTCACAGACCACCAGGATTGGAGTCGCCGTCAATGGAGTTCGCAAGCACTGCTCAGACAAGGAGGTGGTGTCCTTGGCCAAAGTCCTCATTAAAAACTGGAAGCGGCTACTGGGTGAGAAGGGGCAAACTGCTAGGAGGTGGTACTTCGCAGCGTATGGGAGAGGACGCTCAACTTGTGCCACCGAGTTATTTAATTAATGGCAGGCGACCTCTGAATTATGGAGTTCATGGTGTTGTGGGTACAAGTGTAGGATCTATATGTAGCATCTAACCTTTCTTGCATGTGTCTATATGTTTCTGTTTGTGTACATGTATGTGCACATTGCCTGACTCTGCATTGATGGGTGTACTTCTATGTTCATGTTTCCGCGTGAAGTATACATGTTATATGTGTGTATGCATGTGTGTACATGCATGCATGCGTGTGTGAATATATGTGCACATGCATATGTGTATGTGTGTGTAGTGGGCATGCGTGTGACTGGCCCTTTATTCTCCAATGCCCAAAGGCTGCTCCAATGCGTTCAGGGCTGTCCTGAGAAGGCGCTGAGAGGAGAGACAATGCCATTCTTTCATTTTCAGACTCCCCCAGAACTGCCAAAGGAGAGAGAGAAGAAAGAGACAAAGCAAAGAAGAAAGAAAAAGGGCTCGGCTGTTCAGACTGGAAACCAGACGCAGGTCTTTCTCCACCGAGGAAAAAAGGAGGGGGAGAGCCCCAAACCAGGTACTTCTTTTCCGGACTGGAGCGGAGAGGGCCCACGCTTGTCTCATTCTCTATCAGCTGCTCACCCTGGGGTCTTTGGCTCAGTCTGACTGAGTCACAGGGCACTGGCTTCACCTAGAAGGCTGAAGGGATGCGAAGCATGCCAGCCGTGCAGCCCTGGCCTTGCTATCCTTGAGATACTCACAGGGGCCAGGTCCAGTGCACATGACTGTAAACACATCACTCAAGAGGTAGGAGCAGGAGATCATGGGTTTGTGGCTAGCCTGGGCTACATAGCAAGCTCACTGCCTCCAAAACAAAACAAAGCAAAAACAAATGGGGGTTCTCCCAGGAGGCTGCACAGCTGTTCTCTAGCCCTTCGGGTACAAAGAAAGAAGACCACGATGGAAGTGCGAACCCCTGTTCAGAGGGGTCCCCATGTCCCCAGCATCGCGCCATCCTCTAAGCAAAGCCTTAGTGTCCGACAAGAGCAGTCGCCACTGACAGGATCCTCAGCTTGAAAGCTGTGGTCCTCCACTAATTATCTGGAGTCTGTTTGCAGCATTTCCTGTCTAGACACACTTTACGAACCGAGTCATTTGTGCTGGCAGTGTTGTTGCCTGGAAACCCAGCCCACATCCCACCTTTGTCAGGTCTGCTGGGCCAGTGGGGCCAGAGCCTTGAAAAGGGGAAGTAATTCAGTATTTACTCAGCATCTGTGTTAAATCACCTGGAAGCAGAGGATCCTGGGAGGAAGGACTTCCCAGATCCCACAGCTATGATGCGGGACACCTCTGTAGAGAGGTCTCAACTCCATGCCCCATTCCTCTCGCTTACCCTAGCTGGTGTTCCCCAAAGCTGTGTGCTTTGGATAAGACACAAATGCCACATTTATCATGGTAGATTAAAGATTTTGTAGATATGTAGATGAGGCATTGGGGAAGCTGAGGCAGGAGGATAGCTTGAGACAGGAGTTGGAGGCCAGCCCCTATTTCAAAAGAAAAGCTTTTAAAAAAGTACCTGCATCTTCCTCAGTCCCTATAACCCGAAAGTCTCCTAACCTCTTGGGGTTTACGTTTGACCACCTGTTAGTAGGTTGGCGGTAGATGATGTCACACTGCACATACACACCTTCAGAATCTTCAGAATTGTTTACTTTTTACTGCACAAATTTAAAGAATTAGTGTGTATACACACACATATATACACATGTGGGGGGTCAGGGGACAGCTTCTAGGAATCGCTTCTGTCCTTCCACCTTATGGATTTGGGATATCAAACTCAGGCCATCAGGTTTAGTTAGCATCTGCCCCCTCCTCTTCTCTTTTTCTCCCCTGCCCTCTCCTCTCTGCCTCCCCTCTCCCCTCTTCCCTGTTCCTAGTGACCTCTCTTCACAGTGCTGGGGATGGAACTGAGGGCCTTATTATCCATGCTAAACAAGCGCTGGACCACCACTGAGGTCCAGCCCAGCACAGCCCTCACACACAGCTCCTCTGTATCTTTCATGGAGGGCTGTTGCATAATAAATATAACAAGGAAATAAGTTGTTCGGGATAGTAGAAAATGGGAGCTGTGGAATTAGGTAAGATGAGGGTACCATTGACAAACATGTATTTTATAAGAACGGTGAGAGGAAACCACGCATTTGAGAGCGGAAGTTGCTCGGAGCGTGTGGAGAGTGAAGGTGTTTTTACCTCTGACCTCGTCGTGCTTAACGTCATGGTTACAGGATTTGGGTGGATTTTTTTTTTCCGTCTTTTTTTCCCCTCCTGGGCGTTGTTTTCTTATAAGACTTTGTGCATAGCACAGGCCCAATCCTGTCCCCTGTTGTATTCACATTCGTACTCAGCTACTGGTCTACCTCCCCCACGCCTGTGTTCTTCTCTCCACCTCCACTATAGCCTGCAAGGGGAGGCTGAAGCCCACCTCAGTCTCTCCAGCTCCAGATACAGCAACCCCAGGAGCCCAGCTGCCTGGCAGCAGGAGAGGGGCCTGCTGAGACTTCTCAGGAGAGTGATTGACATCACAGGGTGCATGGATGTAGCATTGCTGCAGACATCTGTTCCCTCCCTTGGATTGCTGTCCGGTGGGGCTGGGCACTTCTGAACCTCCCTTTCCCTGGCCGCTGTGGCCCAGGGAGGGTACCTCATCTTCTGCCCAACATGCCTTGCCCCAGGGGTTCCTCTCCGGGAGAGCAGAGCCGCTGCCAGCCTACAAGACAGCATCAACTCCAGTTTTGTGTCTTTCAGGAGAGACTCTGTAGACTCCAGGTCGTCCGCCACCTCCTCTCCAAAAAGGCTCTCAGTGGAAAGGTAAAGGAAGCTGCTGACTTCTCCCTGGGCCTTGTTCATCAGGATGGGGTCTGGGGTGGAGCTCTGCTCAGCAGGGGGAAGCCTGAAGCAGGAGAAAGGGGGAAAACCCCAGACACTATGTTTCCTCCAAATCTTAGGACCTTTGGGTATTAATGCTGACAGGTCCCTGTCACTCCATCACTGAGTACCATCCCCAAGGTCAACCTGAGCTCAGTAAGGACAGCCAGGGCTCCATAGAGAAGCCCAGTCTTGAAAACCAACCAACCAAACAAACAAAAAAAGGTGTTTTGGAGATGGAGGGATTGCTGTAAACTCAAGGCCAGCCTAGGCTGTATAATAAGAGGTAAGGAAGCCGGTTATGCAGGTAGTGGGGTCATACTTATCCAAGGGCCCTAGGTGTGTGAAGGCAGCCTGACAGAGCAGTGGCAAGGATCTGCAGGGGCAGACTGGGGGAAGCAATGCATGGATGAGTCCAGTCCCGCACGGGTCCTTTAGAAACTGGGGCCACTGGCTTGGGAGTGGCATCACCAGAGTTATCAGGCTTGCTCTGGTGGCTGCATCAGAGTGGGTTGCAGGGCTCAGAGCAGAAGGAGAGAACAGCCAGGAGGTTGCTGGGATGATCTGTGGCTCAGATCACTTTGGTGATGGAGGTTGAAAAAGGAATAGATCCAAGATCTATCCTGCAGTGGCATTTGATGAGTGGATGTGGGGTGTGAGGTGTGGTGATATTTTGTTTGTGTTTTAACAAATGAAGCTTACCTGAAGATCAAAGTGCAGAGCTAAACCACTAGAGGCCAGGGAGTGGTGGCACACACCTTTAATGCCAGGACTCGGGAGACGGAGGCAGATGTATGTGAGAGCATGTGCTCGTGTATGTGTGGGTGCATGTGATGGGGTCAGAGGACAACTTTGTGAAGCCAGGTCTCTCTTTCTATCCTTATGTGGATTCTAAGGATCAAACCTAGGGCCCGGGCTTACGTGCCCATCTCTCTGGCCCCAGTCTTCCGGTTACTTTGATTGGTTGGTTGTGTATGGACATACATGTGGAGGTCAAAGGGCAGCTTGTAGGGGTTGCCTCTGTCCTCCCACTGTGTGGGTTCTGGGATGGAACTCAGATTGTCAGGTTGTTAGGTTTGGTGGAAAACAACCATCTTATCAACCCACAACCTTCCAGTTTTATGTGTTTTTGTTGTTGCTCTTTAATTTATGTGTATATGTGTCTCCTTGCTTAAGTTTATATGCACCATACATGTGTAGGAGCTCAGCGGTCAGGACAGGGCATTGGTTCTCCCGGGCCTGGCGTTACAGGTGGTTGTGATCCATGCTGGGAAGGTAATGGATCCTCTGTAAGAAGAGTCAGTGCTCTCGACTGCCGACTCATCTCTCCCAGGGTTCTGGCTTTTAAGGAAAGCTAAACATTCATAGTCTTGATGTTACATTTCCTATTGTAAATATTGGCCAGGGGTACAGATTTTTCTGGGACACAACAGGACACAGTACAGAGGTCACACACCAAAAATGCTAGCTTGGATTCCTTGGCCCCATAGCTTGGATTCAATGGCGTGTGCACCCGTGCAGTGGGCACACAGGGAGAATGTCAGGGCGGGCCTCACAGAGGAAGGAGAGTTCAAGCTGGGAGCTGGCCTGCTAACTCAGAGGGCGATGTCAGGAGGACCCTGGGGAAGCAGTGCAAATGGGAGGCAGCAGGAATGAGCAGGTGTTCTGGGGATGGTGGCTGTAACCCGCATGCACAGACAGACACAGACAGACACGCACACACACACACGCATGCGAAGGGCTCCGTGGTAACAGTTTATACGTAGTTGCATTCAGCTCAGGTGCCTTTAATTTTGTCTTTGGCCAGGCAGCTTCTGCGCACTTGCAGTAACTGAGTTGTCCTCAAGGTGGCAGGCAAGATTTTCTAAGAGCGGGCACTTGTGCTGGGACTTAGAGGAGGCTGGCTGATCTAGTGATCTGGGAACAGAAGGAAGGTGCAGCAGCCAGGCATGGTGGCACACGCCTTTAATCCCAGCATTCAGGAGGCAGAGATGGGGATCTGTGTGAGTTTGAGGCCAACCTGGTCTACAGAGCAAGTTCCAGGACAGGCTTCAAAGCTACAGAGAAACCCTGTCTCAAAAAAAAACAAAAAAACAAAAAAACAAAAAACTGAGATTAAAAGGTACGTACTTCTACAATGGGCCTCAAGCTCATTCTCGTAACACATCTATTTCTTTGTTTTTTGTTTGTTTTCAGGACAGGAAATGCTCCGACTGTCCTGGAACTCACTCTGTAGACCAGACTGGCCTCAAACTCACAGAAATCCGCCACAGAGATCCGCCTATCTCTGTCTCCGAGTGCTGGGATTAAAGGCGTGCGCCACCACCGCCTGGCTAACTCATCTATTTCTAAGGCGACACCTCTAGTGTGGGATAATCATAGTGTGGACCTCATGGAATCGCTATGAGGAATAAATGCGGTGATCTTTGTCAAGATTCTAAAACAGCACCTGCCTCCGAAGGCTATTTTGGGAACTAGAGGAGATCACCCATGGAAACATCTGGGATGCTACCCTCCATAAGTGGTTTGTTTGTCTAATGTCCGCTATTGATTGTCACCCTCAGATCTAACAGCAGCAGATCTAAAGCGGAAACTCCCAAGACCCCCAGCAGCCCCACAACTCCCACATTTGCCCCCTCTGTGTGTCTCCTGGCCCCCTGCTATCTCACCGGTGACTCTGTCCGGGACAAGTGTGTGGAGATGCTCTCCGCAGCCCTGAAGGCAGAAGGTGAGGGCGCGGGCCGGGGGCGAGGGAGGACGAGCAGAGATGAGATGCCATTTATTTATTTATTTACTTATTTGCTTACTTACTTACATTTTGAGACAGGGTCTCCAGTAGGGATCCAGGTGTCATCCCTGGCAAAGTCACACAGGGTTGATGTCTGTTTCCTGATCTCTTTTTAGATGATTTCAAGGACTATGGAGTCAACTGTGACAAGCTGGCCTCAGAAATAGAAGACCATATCCTTGTGTCGTATGGGGCTAGGGCTGCCTAGACTGTCTAGTTGGTGGGATGTGGGAGCAGCTCTGGGAACAGCTCCCTGCTCTGCCCTTGAATGAGAGCTCCTAAGTGCAGCTGACTTTGCTGTTAGGTCTTGCCCTGCCTCTCGGTGGCTTCCCTGGGTTTATCCGGAGGTCCCGGGAGGCTCTGTTCAATGACAGAGCTCCTGCAGCTAACAGAGCTGAGCTTTGAACCCTGAAAGTATGACTGCAGAATAGTCAGACCATGTTATGCACACCTCAGCTGGTCAAGCCATTGCCTGCCGGGTCTGAATGGACAGAGGGCAGCCTGCTTTGTGAATACTGTTCCTCTCCCTCCTCTGATGGGTGCAGCTCCCGAAGTGCTCCCATCAGGCGGGCACTGTGTCAGGAAACTCCCAACCATCCCTGTGGTGCATGCTAGTGTTCTCATTGCATACACAAGGAAACTAGGCTGGGAACTCCAAGGATCACAGCAGGACTGAAAGCCTTGGTCTCTGGTTCTATGTATAAGAAAGTACATTTTATAATTGAATCTCACTGGGTACCCCTGGCTTGGCAGAGCTCTCTCTCTCTCTATGTATACCAGGTTAGCTTCAAACTAACCAAGATCTGTCTGCCTCTGCCTCCAGAGTGCTAGTATTGAAGGCAGACAGCAACATGCCTGGTGGGTCCTGTGTGCTTATACACGCTATGTACTTCCCCCACTAATTTCACCTCCTCACTTTCTACCTTTTTTGGAAAAATAATTTATTTCACTTTATTTTAGATGCATTGGTTTCTGATGCCTTGGAACTGGAGTTACAGACAGTTGTGAGCTGTCCTGTGGGTGCTGGGAACTGAACCCCACATTCCCTGAAAGTAGCCAGTGCTCTTTTAACTGCTGATCAATCTCTCCAGTCCCCCACTTTTTTCTTTGCTTTGCTTTGTTTTTGTTTTTCGAGACCGGATTTCTCTGTGTAGCCCTTGCTGTCCTGGAACTCCTCTGTAGACCAGGCTAGCCTCAGACTCAGAGATCTTCTGCCTCCCAAGTTCTGGGGTTAAAGACATGTGCCACCACCGATCACCTCCTGATTTGCTTCTTAGGGAAAGGGTTGCTTGCCGTGGCAAGGATGGTATGCTTTCTCTCTGTAGACAGAGGTGTGCATGTTTAGATGAAGTGTGGGATGAAGGAGCAGAAACTCTGGGGGAATGAGATGTGTGACTGGGTCTTCCTGGGAGGCTGGGGACCAGACTGTGAGCAGCTAGCTTGCCTGTTTCCATCTCCTGCCTAAAGCCAACCCTAGTATACCCCAGCATAGCCTCTGGTGGTTTCTGTTAGCCATTGTTCATCCATTATCCAGCCATACCTCCACAGATTTTGCATTTCCCAGTCTCTCAGCAAATACATTCTCACGTTTTCTGTTAATGTGATCACAGAGCTTTGGGGGTCTCAGGACAGGCAGTGGCTTCCAAGCTCAACTTGAAGCAGAGTGAGTGGCCTGGTACCTGGTTCCACTTCTGTCTTTCTTCCTCGTTTGCTTCCTCCATTGTCTGTCCCTCTTGTTAGGAGAGGAGCTGAAGCCACAAAAAGCTGCTTATTAGCTTTTTCTCACAGCTGAGGGAAGTCTGAATACAGGGCTCATATGCTCTGTATCCCTCAAAAGATCTGTCCTCTGTGGAGTAACCCTGAACTAATATTGCCTGGGTGAGGCATGGGTGTGACCTTCTGAAGGATCCCCAGAGTTTCCAGGACTGCTTTCCTCCTGATTGTCCCTGGTGATACTGGTGTGTGCAGGAGGAATCAGAAAGAGGCTGGTGTTCCCAAGCGTCCCCTCATATCCACAGACCCACACTACAGATGTTCTGAAAGGCAGTGTTAAACTCAAGAGTTTAAAACTCTGGCTCCTAAAGGCTTAGTGGCATATTCTCTTATTTCCATGCTCTTATTGTACTAATATCTAGATGACATTCCAACGAAAATGAGGCAAAAGCCACAACTCCACCTCCTTTCCACCAGTTCCTGGAAATCAGCTGCTCTGCTCTGCGTGTTGCCCTGGTCTCTGTCTTGGCTGTACTTTTTCCCAGCAACAGCTTTGTCTTGCTTCCTTCACTTGGCTCAGGAGACCAAGAAAATGAGTCTGGCCTCCCCAGCCCTGCCCTGTGTCTCCAGAACAGGAGGGGGGAGGATCTGGGCTGCTGGGCTTGGACAGAACTGTGGTCTGTGGCCAGGGGTGACTTCCTGCCCATGAGTGAACATAGCATTGCTGTTAAGAAGAAGCCTGGCTTGCGGCCCTGACCCCACTAGGACTTTGCCCTCTGACTTTGAGCAAGGACCTGAACCCTTTCCAAGTCTCAGCTCCCTCGTCTACTTGTGGGAGAAGTAACTGGCCAGTCATTCCCAAAGTGGATCCCTGGGATGAAGGGCTATGTCTAAGGGGGAGGGGGAGCTCTGAGCAGGCACTGTGGGAGTCTGGGGGTGCAGTTTGGTTGGCAGAGTGCTTGCCTGTAATTCTAGCAGCCAAGAGATGGAAGTAAGAGGATTAGAGAGTTCTAGGCCATCCTTGGCTACATCAGCAGCAGCTACATAGAGTTCTAGGCTATCCTAGGCTATACTTGTCTCGAAAGAAATTGGAGGTGGCAGAGGAGAACAGGACTGCCCACTGGATTTTGTTGTTGTTTTGTTTGTTTTGGTTTTTGAGGTAGGGTCTCTAGCCCTGGCTGTTCTGAAACTTGCTATGTAGAGCAGGCTGGCCTCAAACACAAAGATCTGCCCGCCTCTGCCTTCCAAGTGCTGGGTTAAAGGTATACATGACCATGCTCAGCTTCCAGTGGTTTTTGCACTTTTCAGAGCCAGAAACATGTGGCTCTTGTCCTTTTCCTTTGTCAGTTGCTCCTCAGCTCTGTGGTCATTTCAAACTAGAGGTTACCCTCAGTATTCTCGTGATAGCAGTTCCCGGATATGGGCTTGTTCCAGACTCCACACTGATAACTTATTGATGCCTCCCAACAGCCCTGTTTGTTTGTTTGCCTGCTTGCTTTTAAACGAAAAGGGAACTGAGGCACTGAAGTTCTGGGACTCACCTGAGGTGCAAGAGAGATTCAGACAAAGCAGCCTGCCTCTTCCTGGAGTCCCTGATACCACAGAGCTTGCTGTAATCTGGCCTCTTCTTGGAGGCTGTTCCCATCTCTGATACCTGGATGATCCCAGGGCTCTAAACAGAAGCCCATTAAGCAGAGGCCACAGAGATGACCTCTGACCCCTGGAGCAGGCTCCCATTCCCACCATGGATGGCAAAATGGCCCTTGACCCAGACACATATCTACCAGGAACTCAAGAGTACGGACATGAAGTACCGGAACCGTGTGCGCAGCCGCATCAGCAATCTGAAGGACCCCCGGAACCCCAGCCTGAGGCAGAATGTGCTCAGTGGGGCCATTTCCCCAGGGCTCATCGCCAAGATGACAGCAGAGGTGAGAAGGATCACAGGGCCTCGGTGCAGGGCGCTGACCAGGGCCCTCCTGCTGCCCAGCTCTGAGAGCAGTGGCTGTAGCTCTGGGGACACGACCTAGGTGCCCTTCAGCCCAGCCCAGCCCCCACCAGCTCAGACTCTCGTTGGTACCCACACATCTCAGACCCCACATCTTGGAAATCACATCCTTGGGTGTGATTAGCTTCCACAGCTGCCAGGGGACTCCCTATCAGTCTTCAAATCGAGAAATGAAGAGACCCAGAGAAGGCGAGAGGAAGTGTTAAGCTCCTAAAAGACTGGGTGGGATTCAGGGTGTTGTGGTCCAGAGTAGAGGAGCATGTGGCATGCTCTGTGTATAACGTGTGGAGTGAGTATCTGGGATGTGTGTGTGTGACGTATTGTGTGTTATATGTGTGATGGTGTGTGGCATATATGATATACAGAGAGAGTGATGGCTGATGTGTTGTCTGACACAAATGCCCATGTAAGCTCACACTATGGATGAGTGAGGGGGTCTTGCGCCTGCTTTCTTCATGAGGGCGCCATCCTATTCCCTAGTCGCCTACAAAAGAGCCTGTCTCCAAACGCTGCCATCTTAGGGGTGGGACTTCCACACGTGAAGGCCACAGAGACCTTCATTCTATGGTTGCCTTTTGCCCCAGGCAGTCAGTTTCTGTAAGAAGTATAAGACACATTTTGCTTCAGTGAGAATAGTGGTTTCAAAGCCAGATGAGGTAGCACATACCTGCAGTCACTGGGGAAGCTGATATAGGAAATTACCATGAATTTGAGGCCAGCCTGGGCTATAGAGGTAGCAAGACCCTGTCTCAACACACACACACACACTCACACACACACACACTCACACACACCCAAAGCCATGGCTGAGGGTATAGTCAATTGGTAGAGAGCTTGCCAAGTATGTTCAAATATGTGTGTGATCCCCAAGGTAGGCGTGACTCACCCTGTAAACCCAGCACTTGGGAGATAGAAGCAGGACTATCAGGAGTTCAAGGCCAGCCTGCTCTAAGTAGCAAGTTCAAGGACAGTCTGGGATACAGGAAACTATCTCAAATAAATAATATCAATAAAACAATAATTAGCCGAAAACAGGCCCCCCTCCCTATGAGCCTTGGCTGCCCTCTGGTCCACACACCGCTTATAACTAGTGCTGCCTCCACCTAAGTGGGTCTGCCCAGTCTTTCTTTGGCAGAGGCTTGAAGGCTTATACTCAGAGATCGGCCTGAAGGGGTTCAGTGAACAGCTGTCAGACAGGAAAGGGAAGAGACTGGATGAGGCTGATGCTGCATCACCAGAAGGATCACAGACTCTGGGTGTGTCTGGTGTGTACTTCCACAGTGATTACAGACCAGTGACCCTGATTCCTGTGAGGACCTGCTGGATAGCCTAGCTCGTAGGTCATGGTTCCCACCAGCAGACGGGCTAGAGAGCATGTGGTCCTAGCTGGGGCCGGCCCTGGTTAAAGCCCAGAGTGGAAGGCTATGGGACATGGGTGAGCAGCAGTCAGTTCAGATGCCAGGAGGGTTTGGCTCAGACTGAGGCCTGGCAGACAGGGTGAGCACTGTCCTAAAGGAATGGCCCCACGGTACTAACTCCGGCTATCAACACCTGCTGCTGTCCCACACATTCCCAGCTGACCTTGACCCAGCTAGAACTCCCAGGTTGGACGTTCCAGCCAGGATGGAGAGGAAACTCCTCCAGGACAGGCCTTTCCCAGGTCAGGAGGAACCAGGAGGGTCCAACATCTCTCCCAGCTCCATGTTCCTAGCATAGTACTTCCCTCTCAGCTCAGACTCTAGAAACTTAGCAAAGGGAAGGCTCCCCCCACCCACCCTGAAACAGATCCATTTCTCTCCAGGAAATGGCCAGCGATGAGCTGAGGGAGTTGAGGAACGCCATGACCCAGGAGGCCATACGTGAGCACCAGATGGCCAAGACAGGCGGCACCACCACCGACCTCTTGAGGTGTAGCAAGTGTAAGAAGAAGAATTGTACCTACAACCAGGTAGGCAGAGGTGAGGTGGAGTGGGGCGGGGCCATAGCAGGGGGAGCAGAGAGATGCCCACAGAGGTGCTGAGGGGACCGGAAACGGAACTCTTCAGGCCACCAGGTGAATGACAAGCTTGAAGATGCCACCTCGGTGCCTTGTGGTTTTCTGGAGAATGTTCAGATTGTGGAATGAGCTGCCGCATATCCATGGAGCAGGGCTGGTGTGTCCTGTCTGTCCTGAAGTGAGAGTGAGCTCCAGACCCCAACTTATACCACACTGTCCTCCATGAACACTTCTGGGCACAGACTTCAAGAGCATCACTTATGCTGGAAGGAAGCATAGCAGTGTGAAACTCAGCTCCTCAGCCCATAGTGCCCAGGCAGGCCAATGGCAGGAAGGCTTTGAACTCAGATTTGGACATTTCTTTTTATCATACTTGGTTATTTTGAGATAGGGCCTTGAATTTACTTTGTAGCTAAAGCTACCTTGGAATTTCTTTCTTTTCCTTTCTTTTTTTTTTTGTTTTTTGTTTTTTGTTTTTGTTTTCGAGACAGGGTTTCTCTGTGTAACTTTGAAACCTGTCCTGGAACTCGCCCTGTAGACCAGGCTGGCCCCAAACTCACAGAGATCCACCAGCCTTCCA